AGACCAAATTCTTGAAAAAACAATAGACATTAATAGTTCCAGATGAACCTGAGAATATTTATTTCTAAAGTATGAGCAGACTGAGCAAACTGGCACAGAACAGGTAAATCCCCAGAGAATACTTTGGCACTTTCACACATCATATCAATCATATTACTCCCTCTGGCTCTCCAAACTTCTACCTTTCTCCTACAACACCAAATCTTGCAAATAGTAGGTCATCTTCTACATCTATTGGATTGTCAATTCCAGCACAACTAGATGGCTAAACACCTGTCATGCAGCATAAATTACACTTCTGTCTTGCCCTAGTGCATATCTCAACTCCTACAATGCTAGTAGCTAGTTATGTACGGTACACCCTAAAAATGAAACAGAATGCATTCTTTATACTCATACCAGCCATTACTGAAAATTTAATATGCCGAACAACAAGGAAAAAATGAGAGAGATAAAATTTAGGTGTCTCTCTAAGAGATTATATGCCTGCATGCTTTTGCTTGCTTAGCAATGCAAAAGTTTGGAAAGATCTTAATTCCAAATTATATCTTCAACACAGTCCTGTTAAACAGAAACAGAGCAGAAGGAACCCCTCATTTCCTTTGATCAAAAATGCTTTATAAAATTACCTTCAGAGGGTTAATAGGAAGCTTAAAAATATTCTGTTCTTGGATTTCTAGGCATTACTTCTGAATGCAGTTTTGACTTTCAAACTCAGATTAGACCGTTATAAAGAATAAGAAAATGTGCCTGTCAGTTGACTGAAACATAATACTAGAATAAATAACTTTTCATTTAGGCACTCATCATTCAAATATGAAATGAGAAAATGTAACCTCTATACATACCAGAACACTTAGATAATTAACCGAATAGGCACCAAAACTGGACAGTGTATTTGTTCAGGAAGTTCTTACAAGCCAGAATAGATTGGAACTATTAAACCTTGGCATAAATCCAAGCTAAGGCTCTAAAAACTACTTACATAAATACAGGCTTAGTTTTTAATGGAAACTACTTCTTCTTCCTTTTACCAGTAAGCCATGGGGCAGACTTACCATTGGTTGTTCCAGGAAACAAGAGCACAAGAAAAGGAATCATTTGTAAAATGTTACTGGAAACCAAATGACTTTGGCAAATGACTAGATTTTCAAGCAAACCAGGTAATCGGCAATGTTACAAAATATCTGTTTATAGAAAAGGCATCCAGAACTTTTTTTTTTATGGGAAAAACAGATTTTCATGATAGTCATGAGAAGTAATATTACTAAATAGAGATAGAGTGATAAATTACTATTTTCGACACCAAATGGAAAGCGCTGTTCTTTTCAGAAGGCAATTTGAATTTGAATGCTTAGACATAGAAAGGAACTTCCTTACCAAAGATGCCATTATAAAAAAAGGAACATACACCCTGAGGGGGAAGGAGGGTGGAAGCCTTTTTCCACACATGAACCAAATTTTCCTTATAATTACATTATTACTATTTAAAAATTTCTTTTCCTATCAATTTCAACTATGTTAAGAATTGAAAGCTCTATTTAAAGATTTCATATGTACTCAGTTAATAAATTGTCTATAAGGAACAGGAGGGTACCTGTGCCATACACAAAAACCACTTAAAAATACACTACATTTCATCACTTTTGTGTATTGGGAGCATGGACATTTCCATTTTAAATCAACAATAAGTAATTGATATTTTATTTCTTAAAGATAAATGCCAGCAGAAAGAATGGTGGGGCCATTTTATTTTGTTTCTCCAGAAAATTTAAAAACTAGAACAATACAAGCAATGGAATTCAAAAATAAATGTAGCACCTTGTATGACAAAAAGATTTGTCTTTTAACAAAATTGTTTTATCTGGGTAAGAGAATTGTATAGGTTTCACACAAGTAAATCACTGGTGCCTAAAACCATATGAAATTAAATACCAAATGCTAGTTTAACAAAGACCAAGAAGAGACCCTTAGGAATTTGAGATCATTGTTTTGGAATCAAAACAGAAGTAAAGCTAGCTACAAAATTACCACTTTGGAAGGCTTGCCTAATGGGACAGCAATTAGATATCAAAGAATCACATCATATTACTGTCAGGTTCCCCAAATGTGCAAAGAAAGCCAATACGTTTTCTGCTAAAAAACATGAACAGTGGGACTGCGTAAAGGTTCAGCTTAGAAAAGTGGGTCTAAGCAAAGTAATTTAATGGGGAAAAAAAAACAAAAACCAACCCAACAAACAAAAAAAAAACCCAAAAACACAAGCAAAAATACAAACCAAAAAACCAACCTAAAACCAGTTTCCCCAAATTTCTAGAAATTTTCTAAAGTTTAAAAACCTTCATCCAATATTTATTTCTTTCTTCATGTATTTATTGCTTTTCTTCACATGTCTCAAGCATTATAACACTTGATATAATATTTGCACTTATTCCATACATTCCACACTGTTGCCACACCGCCATATGCTGTTTCTATTGGTTCTGTAAGTGCAAGAGATATTTTTGCAATTCCTGAATACTGTCTGTGCAAAAAATACAGAATCAACCCCAAAAGACTAGATCCTGTCTGGAAATAATACACTGTATTCTTGAACATGAAAGCTCTAAGATGCATAGTGCAATGCATACAGAATCACATGGTTTTGCTCTCCCTGCAAAATTCATAGTTAAACAGTGTGAGAAATTGTCCAAGTAAAACTACCATTCAAACACATATAGCTTGCTCAACCTCTCCCACATAATCTCTCCCAAATCAATTTATAGTTGCACCAAACCACTTGCCAGACTTTCAGATTCTGGTAAACAAGTTTCTCCAGGGACAAATAAGAGCACTCATAAACTTACAGCATTCTTTCCAGTTTGCATTGAAAACTGCCAATATTTACATATGCAACAGCTGATTCAATCATATTTTACAACACTGAAAGCATTCAGTGAAGAAAAAAGATAGAAAATATTCAGAACTTCAATAAAATAGCATGTTTAAGTATTTCATTCTTTTCTTGGAGATTTGTCTATTGACTCCAATTAATCTTTTATGGGCTTGTGAACACAGAGATTTTGCTTTGTATAAAAGAAGTTGACTGAGGTAATGGGCCCTGCCAGCAGGTCAGTCCAAACTTTTCTGACAAGGCCTGGAATTCTGGAAAACCGTCTTAATTATCTTGTGCATATATTCTACAAATACAGATAAAAACTTAGTGGATCCAATAACAATGTATCTTTTAGGACCAGTTTTACCCTTTTTTTTGGATGACACTTCCTCATTTACTTTATTTATAACTGTGCTTAATCATCTAGGAAATTTTCAGCATGTTTAGCATGCACAGCAGAATATTTCTGGTAAAAGACAGAAGTAATAGAGAATTATGTGAACAGCTAAGGGTAGAAAGTCTGGGGAATATAATTTTCCCTTTTCATAGTAAGCTAGCAGGCATTCCCAAACCCTAGTGAAAACCATGATACTTAGAAACTGGTAAGCTCCCACTCTAAATGGGCACCCATATGGACATGTCTGCAATGCCCACTAAAGACACATAATTGCTTTAGTCCAAGAGAAGTCAATCGACAATGGGCACGCACCTTTTGATGCTTAATGTTACTGGCATTTCTTTCACAAAGTTAGATCCCAAAATCAGCCCCACTTTTAATTCACCATCATCTAAATAAACAAATTGGGGGATACCTGGCTTTTAATGTATTTTTTTAGAATTTAGGCACTGACAACATTCTTTCATTCTACTTATTATGTATAAGCTTATCTGAAAATCAAAGCCACAACACACATCTTGGAAATTAGGGGGCAGTGGGGCGCAATTATTTTAAAATCCAGGATTTCGGATTAGTCCTTTATCTTCAAAAAGTTCCAGTTACTACACGAGCTCAGTGTCAGAACACAAAGCACTATAGCACTTTCAGGATATCCTATTTCCAGTACACCATATCAATTTACACCAAGACCAGGATATAGCTTCACACCCATCTTTAGCCCTAGCACAATGACAGTGAAATAGGCTACAACAAATTAAAGTCTAATCAGTTGCTTTCCTCATCCTTCCCACTTGAATCACAGGTCTTTGCTTGGCTGCATTGCCTGCCAGATTCTTTCAGAAGGTTTCAAGTAATAAGGCATTCTACTAATACCGCCTCAATCTTCTTCAGTGCTCTAAAATTTCAGCACACACTAAAACTAAGCTACCATCAATTCCTAAATGTAAGGCTGACTTTGATTACAGTATCCTATACAAAATGTGCCACTACACAAACGGTTTCCATGATGGAATCATGGAATCAATGTGCAATGTGAGAAATAAATATCAACATTACTTTCACTGTAAACTGAAAAATGCTGCCAGCTTTATGAATTTCTCGTTTTTAGAATACAGATGAAAGAGCTTGGAATGCTCCCTTCCTGATTCAGTTTTTCACCCATTCCCTGAACCTTTTGCCCCGTAGGTATGCAGAAAGAATTTGAGAATTTGCCCAAGGTGCTTTTTAAGTTCAAGGATTGGTTAAAAATTAAATACTGATCTGCCTTTAATGTTGAAAACCAAAAAAAATATCCTTTTTTACTGTAACAAAAATGTGTTAACACTTCAAAATTATAGACCTACATTGTTGAACTACCAAAAACCTCTCTCTTTACAAATATTAGAAAGTTTACAAATTCTCTCAGAATTACTATTGCTGTATGTAATCATCTACTTAGCAACATTTAAGTACTCTAAGCTCTTTACATTTTTTTCTCACACACACAAAAATATCATTGAATGTTATTATCCATAGGTTTATTTGCTTTCCCAGTAGACTACCTTTAAATCGTATTTAACATGAGTTAAAATCTGTAATCTTGACAGGTACAGTTTTCTCATCTAGCGCTTGAAAGGCACAGTGTTTACTGCAAGGTGTCAAATGCAGCACTCACTAATACAGAGAACACCTTACAGCAAAGCTTACTACATTGCAGCAGTTCTCTCCAATACAAAGTTTAGCTCATACCTCTGTGATTGGTGAGATCTCTAGATCCTGAAGGCAGAGGTGTATAGTGCATCTCTGGAGAGGTAGAAGCAACATCATTGGAGGCCTGTGTGATAAAACAAACATTATCAGTCTCTGAGAGAAAGTCAGTGATTATGCAAAGAGGATGCACCTGTGCTATTATGTGGTTACAGGTGCTCAGAGTTACCAGCCACTGAGGATTAATTGGGTTTTGTTAAGGCTGCCCAGTCCTTCAAGATAGCTGCACTCACAAGAGTTTACATAATGATATTAGGTATCATTACCAAATGAGTACACACAACTCACAGCTTCAGAAAATTACCATTTTTATCAGAAAATCTTTGGGCAATGTTAAAAATGTTCTTCTTGGTGAAACAATTTAATATTTTGCTGAAGGAAGTTATGAGTGAGTCCACATATAAGGAGACAGAAAATAGAATGCTGGGATAAGGTACCATACTTTTTAAGCAAAAAAAAAAAACAACCCACAAAACAAAACCAGATTCTGCCATTCAACTGTTCTGTGAGCTAAATGAAGGTATGTCTTAAAAAATTAAAATGCCTATAATGCAAAAAAGCAGACAAGTATATAGAATTTTAATAATAAACACTTAAAACCCACACCAGAAGTCTAATACGTTTAAAGAGGTGAGTACCAAAAAGACTTGCGCAGAATACTTGACAGCAAAATATTAGGAGAGGAGAGCGGAAATCACAATCTTTCTCTATAATAAAAGTTTCAAGATCCTATGGTCCTGATTTAAAGATTAGACTCTGGAGCTATAGTTTGCAAGAAACTGATCATCAAGATGGATGTTTCATCTGAAGGGAAGAGCAATATAAAGTCAAGATAAGCCACATTTACCATCTTACTTTTTAGTTATAGAGCAGCAGCCTTGCATTCTTAAAAGGAGATATGAAAAAAGGGATCATGTAGGTGAATATGAATCATCATCACAGTTTTTAAAAGTCAGTTTAACTTAGGTGGATGGATACCATGATAGTGATATGTTCCGTTTCAGGTACAGAGTTTGCTTAAGTGTTTACAATCTACCCATTGCAACATGCATAAAAGATTATGCATGTTTAAGATACAAAAGATTTAATAAAAGACACAAAGGACAGCGTTCCCTAAAAGTTACATGATAATTCTAATAGAAAAGATAACGCAAATAAAGAGAAGACCTACAAAAGCTAAACTATTTCTTGAATTTCATGTTAATTTTCTGAAAGGAGTCTTCAGAAAATAATTGTTATCTACAATGCAGGTTACTCCCTACTCATACCTTGGCTTATAAACTGCAAAAGTCAATCAAAGGAATACACCTCAAACTTACTTCTTATTTTGGAATTAATCATATCCCCAAAATGTATATATTTTTTAATTGAAATTATTTTAAAACCAGGTTTACAACAGCCAGTCAAGATAAAAGTGTAAAATATAGCTGTAATGTTTTGGAGAAGAAAAAGCCTAAATAGCAATTCAAATCTTGATTGCCAAACTAAACCTGAGACCAACAATCAGAAATCCACAATAATGAAAATAAGTAACGGTAATAGAATAGAATAGACTAGAATAGAATAGAACAAATAGAATTGTTATGGACGGAAAGGCGTTTAAGATCATCTAGTTCCACCCCCCCTGCCATGGGCAGGGACACCTCACACTAAACCATCTCACCCAAGGCTCTGTCCAACCTGGCCTTGAACACCACCAGGGATGAAGCATTTGCTTCAGGATACAGTTGGCTTTCTGGGCTGTGAGCACACACTGAAGCCAGCTCACGTTCATTTTTTCATCGACCAAAACCCCCAAGTCCTTCTGCGCAGGGCTGCTCTGAATCTCTTCTCTGCCCAACCTGTAGCTGAGCCTGGGATTGCTCCGACCCAGGTGTAGGACCTTGCACTTGGCATGGTTAAACTTCATGAGGTTGGCATCAGCCCACCTCACAAGCGTGTCAAGGTCCCTCTGGATGGCATTCCTTCCCTCCAGGGTATCAACCGAACCACACAGCTTGGTGTCATCGGGAAACTTGTTGAGGGAACACTCAATCCCACTGTCCGTGACACTAACAAAGATGTTGAATAAGACCGGTCCCAACACTGATCCCTGAGTGACACCTCTCATTACTGGTCTCCAGCTAGACACTGATCCATTGACCACAACTCTTTGTGTGCGGCCATGCAGCCAGTTCTTTATCCACCGAGTGGTCCACCTATCAAAGTGATGTCTCTCCAATTTAGAGACAAGGATGTCATGTGGGACAGTGTCAAACACTTTGCACAAGTCCAGGTATATCACATCAACTGTTGTAATAGTCTGTTAAAGGCTGTAATTTAAAAATCTTCTTTGTCATAGCTGTACAACTCCAGATCACAGAATCATAAAATGGTTTGGCTTGGAAGAGATCTTAAAGATTGTCTAGTTCAAACCTCCCTGCCACAGGCAGAGACACCTTTCACTAGACCAGGTTGCTCGAAGTCCCATCGTACCTGGCATTGAACACTTCCAGGGATGTGGCATCCATTACTTCTCTCGGAAACCTGTTCCAGTGTATATTAAAATGTTAATAGGTGACTGAATAGTTTACTAAGCTTTTGCTTGTATGTCAGACCATGGTTATAGATCCATTTTTGTCCCTAGCAAAAATCAGATCATAACATGAAGACGCATCATGCATCTGTCGTGGTTTAAACCCAGTCAGGTAATTCGTTCGCTCACTTCCCCCCCCTTTCTTGCCCTCCCCCTGCTCTCGGAGGGACGGAGAGGAGAATCAAAAGAATGCAACTCCCACGGGTTGAGATAAGAACAGTTTAGTAACTAAGGTATAACACAAATCACTACTGCTACCACCAATGATAATAATGATAAAGGAAATAACAAGGGAAGAGAATACAACACCTCACCACCCGCTGACCGATAACTCGCCCCCCAAGCCCGACCAAGCTCCGACCGATACCTCCTCCAACCCTGCAGTCTCCCAGCCCTTCCGGCTAACTCCCAGTTACCTCCTGGGCATGACGTGCTGTGGTATGGAATAGCTCTTTGGTCAGTTTGGGTCAGGTGTCCTGTCTCTGCTTCCTCCCAGCTTCCCCTCCTCCCTGGCAGAGCATGAGGCTCACGAAGTCCTTGGCCAAACCAAAACATCTCTATCAGCTCTGTTCCCGAGCCGAAAGTCAAAACACTGCACTGCACCAGCTACCAAGGAGGAGAAACATGACTGCTACTGCTGAACCCAGGACATTATCCACCCCTTATTCCATACCATTCACGTCATGCTCAGTTCCCACATTTTCAAAATACCATCACTCTTATCTTAGTGCATGGACCAGTCCCTATAATGCTGCCGAGTCCATCTGGTCCATGATGGCAGGCTCCATCTCTTGTAACAGTCTTCCAGAGCAGGAGAGACTGTGTGCAGTGTTCACACTCGTGAATAACTAGGGCAATAGTGTCCATTGTTAAGTCCACCCCTCGATCATGAGTCCATCTCTGTGTTGCATCTCTGCTCTGATGGCCTGAAGTGCCATGGGCCCACCAGCCTTAAAATAATTCACTGTCCCCTTAAGCAGTTTCTGCAGCTTGTTGCTGGGGACTCCATACAGCTGCCTTCCATCTCCGACGCTTCCAAAGCACTGGAGGGGCCCAGTGGACTAGATACTTGCCCATACTGTCCCACACACCCTGCCACTCATGACTCTCCAGCCTTGGGGAAAATCTCTTGGTCCCCCTATATTGTTGTCTAACCCCAGACAAGACCCAAACCTGACTCTGCTTAACTTTTGAGATCAGACAAAATGGTTGTGGGTAGAACACAGCCTGTGTGTGTGCCAACATGCTGATCCCCATCACAATCAGCAGGCAGGTCCCAAGGATACCCAAAGGCCATTCAGAGCCTTCAGAACTCTCAAACGACGCTGCTGTGCTTGTCACTGGGGCTGGTGTAGCTGCTGTGCTTGCCGGCTCTCCCACCACCGGCTTCTCTTTTCCTGAGTCCAGCTCTTCCTCCTCTGCCTTGCTGGGAAACGCTGCGTGGTCTCCTGCATCCTCCTGGGGCTCGGCGGGTGGCTGCCGGGAAACGCTCTCGGCCGTCGCGGGGCTGGGCTCCTCCGCGGGGCTGGGCTCCTCCGCGGGGCTGGGCTCTTCCGCGGGGCTCGGCTCCTCCACCGCCTTCTCCCGCTGCTCGGCAGCCGCTTCCTTCTGCTCCTCGACCGCCCCGACCTCCTCCACCGGCAGCCGTCCCCTCGCGGCCTCCGGCCCCGCTCCCGCCGCCGCTTGGTCCCCGGGACCGCTCTCCCGGGCCGGTTCGGCTGCCGCCGGCTCCCGGGGCCGCTCCCCCTCGGCTCCCCGCAGCCTCACGAAGATGGAGAGTAGGGTGAGGGCCAGGCCGGTGAAGAGCAGCCGGACGGCCAGGTACAAGTCCACGGCCACGTCCGTCCCGCCCTGCTGCTGGAGCCCGCCCGTGTTACAAGCCATTGCCATAAAGCACAGTGAGACAAGAACCTTAGCCCAGGCCCCACACTTGATAAACACTAACACAGCAAATACCGGCTCTACGTAAGTTACAACGGTCTGAAGCTGTGAGATCAAGAAGAACAACTCTGATAGCCAATAAATCAGCATTGTGACGAATGACTATTAATCCAGTCAAATCTGTCGTTATCTCAACCCTTCGTGCCCCACGTTGGGCGCCAAAAAGAACTGTCGTGGTTTAAACCCAGTCAGGTAATTCGTTCGCTCACTTCCCCCCCCTTTCTTGCCCTCCCCCTGCTCTCGGAGGGACGGAGAGGAGAATCAAAAGAATGCAACTCCCACGGGTTGAGATAAGAACAGTTTAGTAACTAAGGTATAACACAAATCACTACTGCTACCACCAATGATAATAATGATAAAGGAAATAACAAGGGAAGAGAATACAACACCTCACCACCCGCTGACCGATAACTCGCCCCCCAAGCCCGACCAAGCTCCGACCGATACCTCCTCCAACCCTGCAGTCTCCCAGCCCTTCCGGCTAACTCCCAGTTACCTCCTGGGCATGACGTGCTGTGGTATGGAATAGCTCTTTGGTCAGTTTGGGTCAG